AAAAGAGCCAAACCTAAAGAAAAGAAAACGGTAAAAACCCATTTAAAAAGGCGGGGCGGGTTAAAAAAAAAAATTTATCCTTCCCAAACCCCACCCCCACCCTCGGGCAAAACCCCCGTGACCCTTAACCCAAAGCCCCCCAAAAAAAGGCCCTCCCCCCCCCCCCCCCCCCCCCCCCCTCTCCTCTTCCCCCCGTGCAGTGTTGACGTTATGAATTCAAGTCTTGTTTCAGCACAATCAACACTACTTGGGAAAGAGAGGGACAGCAGAAATAGCTCTCACCTTTACCCTGGACGAAAAGTTGGCTATGATCCGCTTTTATTGGCTTCAAAAGTATGACATGTAAAGTTGGACTGAGACAGGCAGCAAAGCATGGTAAACCACTAGGTAAGTAAAGGTGTTAGCGAGAGACTAATGTTTTGCACTTCGAAATCAAAATACAGTAAAAACCCGCTAGCAAGAACCTGCAAGTTCCCAAATTAGCCTAAACATGTACAGGTTCTTACGTAAATGATAATTTAGATTAGAACTTAATAGATTTTAAAGTAATACAAACAAACTATCCCTTAGCGAGATAAAATTGACTGGTTTGTAAGCTTGGAGCCATACTAATAAAAATTTTAGCCTATGACTTTGAAATACGGCGTCGGGCCCGGAAAAGTAACGGGACCGTTTCAAAAAACTGGCCACAAGACAATTACCTTGTAGCAATCTTCTAACTAAATAGGGATTTTCTTGTGCCCAGTCACATATGAATATGAAATTTTAAAACTTTCTTGACATAGAATACTGCTGATACAAAAGATAAAAATTAAAAAGAAAACATTACTTTGGGAAAGTTTCCACCATTTGATGGTCTAGAAGGATCTGTTTTCCACTGCCTTACTTGTTTCTGGGTTATTTCTGTTTTAAAAAAAAGAAAACGGATTAAACAGTTAGACACCGTCGCACATAACTTTGGACATCAGAAGTTACATTAGAAAGGTTTGATGACGCACTAAGAAAAGAAAACAAAAAATTAAGACGACGAAGAAGAAAAACTCAGAAGAAAAGGAGGTGGAGTTCCCGTTTTAGCTGTTAGCCTTCAATATGATAACGCTTGCCGTTTACTAAAAACCTCAAACTTTAAGGGCATGTAATTATACATTACATGAAACCCGTATCAAGCTGACTCCACATAAAGCTTACGCCAGCCTCACTTATCTTTCCCTACTTTCTGCCAAACGATTCTGTATTAAGCAACCACAAGCAAGTTTCCCTGGGTGTCCCGCGTAAGGAATGTTTTGTTGCATTTTTTTTCTCTTCGCAGACTGATGAACAATTTTAGGAGTGTATTCATTTTAAACATGAATGGTGACGCTTTAGGATTGTATCCACATAATCTAGAATATAGGAATATAGGATAATACCCGAGCTATGAGGCCTTACGCGCTTGCATATTAAGAAGGCTGAGAAGCGCAGGTCATTGTTGTGGCCACTGAAGTGGAAAAGTAAGTTATTTTTAGGAACAATGGCCTCCTATTCCACCTCTGTGACCCTCTCTTCCGTTAACTGAAAATAATAACTAGTTCAAAACAAAAAGTGTATTACAATTAGTAATAATCAAAGTTAAGAAGTACGTTAGATCGAATTCGAGCCCAGGAACTCTTTTTCTTGGCAGGGTTGGTGATGACGTCATTCACCCCTGCAAAATCTGCGGGGGATGCCAGATGCGTGTGCGCAAATCCCTTCGCCGATTGTCCCATACAATCTCCCTCCAATCTGTGTTAGGAGCGCGTTTTTCTACGTCAAACGCAGTTAACTTGCACAGCACGATTTATGACACTACAGTAATGAACTACTTAGTAGCATTCATTTACTAGATGGGGCGATTAACAAATGAACATTCTCACCTTGCAGCAAATGTTTTTGGTTGGTCGCCGGTATTTTCCCAATTTTAACTGGCAGTTTGGACACACGTGCTCCACATCTTGAAATCGTTTCCATAGAAACGGAACGAGGCAGCAGCCTCCGAAGCATCCCAGCAGGCAAAGCGCCGCTGCAAACACAATCGTCATTTTCCCAACTCTATACGTCACTGTAGTCATCACGTGATTCTTGCAGGAGCCACAAAACGTGTAGAGGGACTCATCTTTGAAATCCTCGCGATCGTCTATGTGGAAGGATTCCATGTTGATTATTTGCCGTCCTGTAACTTTTTCTCCATCCCCTTCAGTTTTGCCTGCTACATTTGGCTGGGAGGACACTGCTTTGAGGAAAGATGTTGTTTCTTGATTACTTAATAAACCTTTCTAGCTTAATTTGCAGGTTCTGTTTTCTCAATAAAGACCAGGTGATATTCCTAAGGGAATTTGGTCTTTTCAAAAATTACGCATAGATATGCACGCGGATGCACGTGCATAGAACGGCAAATGAAAGACACGGTTCACTAGGGGATGTTACCAAACTAGGGAAAGGGAAAATAAAAAACGGGAACAATACCTAACTTGAAGCCTAGCGCTCTTGCACTATCGGTAACTTCATTTCCAATTCTCTCCTTTGTTCCCATTTTTCATTTTTCCGGTTCCCCGTTTTAGTGCCATCCGTTGTTCACTTGCGTACAATAACGAGGCAGGAAATGGGAAAACCAAAACCCACAAGCTAAAACGGTTTATCATATTTTTCGACATCCATGGCCGATTGTGGGGAAATTGCCCTTGACAAGAAACGCCCAAATGTCCAGCCAAGGCTGATAATAAGCCAATTAAAGTCAAGAATTTGAAAACATGACCATGATTATTATTTTTTTCTTTTATGAGGCACACACATTCTAGAAGCCCTCTCCCTAGTTACGTCTTTCATCCTTTGATTTAACTTGACAGAATTTAGTTAATTTCTTTCCTCGTTTGAAAACAACTGTCTTAGGTTTTACATGTATTTATTGCTGATTTTGTCCATCGGCATTGGGAAAATTAAGCAACGGAAACGCCAAGAAAAACGTCAATTGATAAAACGATCACGGGATTTAAATTACTTTAATTGAATTGTTTCTAAAGTTTCGACATTTCAATGGTAGGGCACAAACGACGGTGACTTTTGAAATAAGATTTTCGCTTCAATTTATTCAAATTTTGATTATCATATTCACATTATATATATAGCTATTCCACGAGTGCGCGTTGGATATGAGTTGGCTATAATCATCTCATATCCCACAAGCGCGGGTGGTATAATTGTTTTGTTTAAAACGCCCACAAAATATCTAGAATTCTTTCCGACTTTATGTGTAAAAACACCCGATTTTCAGCTTGTTTTTAATTTTGAGCAGACGCGTAAGTACAGTTACCATAGATCTAGAGGATGGAAAAATGGCTCATATACCATGACGGCTAAGCCAATCAGAGCTCTAGAATTACATTATCCAATGATTCAGTTTTTAATAAATATATTATAGGTAAGAGCAGTTCCTGTCAAGTCAATAAATAGAGGATATTACATGGCTGCGCGGAGATACGAAATTTCTCTTCGAGTGTTGAAAAATATTTCACGAGTGAGAGCAGCGAAAGAGTGAAATATTTTTTCAACACGAGAAGAGAATTTTCGTATCTCCAAGCGGCCATGTAATATTCTATTTATTATATAAACACTAATTGAACTACCAAACCATTTCACTTTAACAGTTTTTCGGTGTGAAAGGCGCGATTTATTATGTAGCCATAGCAACGGTGATATTTTAACATTTTGAAGATAACATGTTACCGTAAAATTCCGAAAATAAGCCCCGGGGCTTATATTTTTCAAAGGCCCTTTTTGAGGGGCTTATTTTTGGAGGGGCTTGTATTCGGAGGGGCTTATCTACGGAGGAAATTTGCGTTTCAAAATCGATTGGGCTAGCCTTATAGTTGGGAGTAAATTTACCGTTTTTGCTTTGTTTTACTTTGTATTTGAGGGCAATTTTCCAAGGACAAGTCCCCCGGGGCTTATATTTGGAAGGGTGATTTAACGGAGGGTTTTTTGCGTTACCGGTTTGGGGGGCTTGTATTTGGAGGGGCTTATACATGGAGGGGCTTATTTTTGGAATTTTACGGTATTTTCACACGTGAAGATACCAAGTTTTCGCGCGAAAGCTCACCGGGTATTTCATTTGTGTTTATATAATAAAACATCATCTTCATCCAGATTTCCTTCTAAATACCAACAATTAAACTATCTAGGATTTTCGAAGATATTGCTGGTTATAGGTAACAAAGAATGGTTTAGGATTTTGTTTTTGTTATTCGTTAAACGCCGGCTGATATTAATGCAGGCCCTTTTTTCTGAGTGTTCAGCAAAAAAGCAGCCTCTGCCTAAACATTTAAAAAATCTTAATTCTTTCGCCCATGATAATAAAATAATCAACTTCAGATCTCATCAATTTTGATTCATTTTCAAATTCATAAAGTGATAAAATGTCACTTAGGATGAAAATGAATATCGGTGGTATTGCGAAAGTTATGCAATCCATCAAGATGTAGTTTAAATTCATATGGAAGTATATTTCAACAGAAGTTTAATAGTTTGCCATAAAATATTGATTGTGAAAAAGGGAATTTAAAATTTCAAAAGATAATAAAGCTGAAAGAAAATTCAGCCCCAATACCAACTCGCTCGACTCACGAAATGAGCTGATATCGACGTTTAAATTTTCATTTATAGGACAAATTCTCGAAATCATTTTGATAAATTCAGCCTACCTGGTACATTTACGCTCGAATCGCTTCCTGAAGAACTACTCATTGCGATTTTTTTCTGCCTGAAATAAAGATGATCTTCAAAATTTGCCTTGGATCTTCTATTTCCCGGTATTTCCGACGAATAAAAATTTCTGCGCAAAACGAGCCAATGACGAATGTTTGTAATAATAAGGCGTGCCTGTGCACTTGTAAGAATTCCTTTGTCTCGATTTGTGAACTTGACTTTGACCAAGCAAATACCGCTACAAGGCCAGACTCGGGGTGTTTTAGGCCTTGCCAGTTCACACGCATCCGTTTATGTTTGCAAACGGAAAGTTTTTTTTTCCGGCTTGGCCTACCGTCTACACCACGTCAAAAAACACTCTCCTGAGTTGCGTGGAGCTTTTGAAAACACCGGCTTATCGTTTTCGTGCGGACGGACGCGTGTAAACCGAGGTGATGTCGTTGTTGTGGCATTTTTGTGTGGAGGAACGGAAAATAGTTCGAATACGCCACGTGTGGACGCAAATTTTTTCAAAAAAAAATGGAGAAAAAATATCCTTTTTCAAAAATATCGCAATGCGTACAGACGGGACCTAAATGTTACAGAGAGCCTAGTCTGGCGAAAACACAAATGCAACAGTTTAAACAACCCTTTACCTTAGAAACGGTCTAAACGCAAGCGCAAGCATAAGGATAAAGAAAAGAATTTTCTCTTTCCTTGTACTCTTGCAGTGTAGAGGGACTCATCTTTGAAATCCTCGCGATCGTCTATGTGGAAGGATTCCATGTTGATTATTTGCCGTCCTGTAACTTTTTCTCCATCCCCTTCAGTTTTGCCTGCTACATTTGGCTGGGAGGACACTGCTTTCAGGAAAGATATTGTTATTTGATTACTTAATAAACCTTTCTAGCTTAATTTGCAGGTTTTGTTTTCTCATTAAAGACCAGGTGATATTCCCAAGGGAATTTGGTCCTTTCATAAATTACGCATAGATATGCACGCGGATGCACGTGCATAGAACGGCAAATGAAAGACACGGCTCACTAGGGGATGTTACTAAACCGGTGAAAGGGAAAATGAAAAACGGGAACGAAACCTTATGTGAACCCTAGCCCTATCAGTAACTTCATTTCCAGTTCTCTGCTTTGATCCCATTTTTCATGTTTTCCGGTTCCCCGTTTTAGTGACGTCCGTTCACTGGCGTACCATGACGCGGTCTGAAATGGGAAAACAAAACCGACAGGCTAAAACGGTCTGTCATATTTAGCGATATGCATGGCCGATTGTGGGGCAATTTCTCCTTGACAAGAAACGCCCGAGTGTCCAGCCAATTTGAAAACATGACCATGATTATTATTTTTTTCTTTTATGAGGACAAAAGTCTAAAGTTTCGACATTTCAATGGTAGGGTACAAACGACGGTGACTTTTTTAGATTTTCGCTTCAATTTATTCAAATTTTGATTATCATATTCACATTAAATATATAGCTATTCCACGAGTGCGCGTTGGATATGAGTTGGCTATAATCATCTCATATCCCACAAGCGCGGGTGATATAATTGTGTTTGTTTAAAACGCCCACAAAATATCGAGAATTCTTTCCGACTTTATTTGTAAAAACAACCGATTTTCGGCTTGTTTTTAATTTTGAGCAGACGCGTACAGTTACCATAGTTCTAGAGGATGGTATAATGGATCATATACCATGATGGGCTAAGCCAATCAGAGCTCTAGAATTACATTATCCAATGATTCAGTTTTTAATAAATATATTATATATAAGAGCAGTTCCTGTCAAGTCAATAAATAGAGGATATTACATGGCCGCGCGGAGATACGAAATTTCTCTTCGAGTGTTGAAAAATATTTCACGAGTGAGCGCAGCGAAAGAGTAAAATATTTTTTCAACACGAGAAGAGAAATTTCGTATCTCAAAGCGGCCATGCATATTCTATTTATTATATAAACACCAATGAAATACCAAACCATTTCACTTTAACAGTTTTTCGGTGTGAAAGGCGCGAAGGTTTCTTGGTATCTTCACATGTGAAGATACCAAGTTTTCGCGCGAAAGCTCACCTGGTATTTCATTGGTGTTTATATAATAAAACATCATCTTTGAGAGAAAATTAAACCAAACAATCGTCATCCAGATTTCCTTCTAAATACCAACAATTAAACTATCAAGGATTTTCGAAGATATTGCTGTTTATAGGTAACAGAGAATGGTTTAGGATTTTGTTTTTGTTATTCGTTAAACGCCGGTTGATATTAATGCAGGCCCTTTTACTGAGTGTTCAGCAAAAAAGCAGCCTCCGCCTAAACATTTAAAAAATCTTAATTCTTTCGCCCATGATAATAAAATATTCAACTTCAGATCTCATCAATTTTGCTTCATTTTCAAAATCATAAAGTGGAAAAATTTCACTTAGAATGAAAATGAATATCGGTGGTATTGCGAAAGTTATGCAATCCATCAAGATGCAGTTTAGATTCATATGGAAGTATATTTCAACATAAGTTTAATAGTTTTCCATAAAATATTGATT